GGAGCAGGTCTGCGGGGAGGAAGGGGCGGCCGAGCGCGGCGGGGGGCGAGCTGCCTTGGCTCCCCGAAGCCCTGCGGGGGCCGCTCTGGGAGCGATCCCATGGCCTTTGGGTTGTGGGCCTTTGGGTGGCTTTTTCCATGATTTCCCTTCACTCAGCAGGGCAGGATGGTTCCTGTACTCGCTCCTCTGTCTCTTCATGTCGCCCACCAGGCCTGGCCTTGCCCGGTCTGCCGGAGAGTGCAGTGTTTTGGTGCGATGGAGCCGCTCCTTGCTGTCGGCAGAGCAGTGCTGTTGCCGTGTCGAGCAGGTAGAGAGCTGAGGCAGACGAAGGGCTAGGGCTGCAAAACAAGGCTTGCACATGGCTCCCGTGCTTCGCAAGAAGTCGTCGGTGCCAAAGCACTCGCCTGGCTCAGGACCTAAGTGAAGTGACCCGTTTGCCGAGCAGCAGCTCGCCGGGAGAGCCCGGAGCAAACCATAACCTGTGGGACCTGTGTCCCTGCCCGTGCTCGGGACTGGCACCAGAGCGGCGCGAGGTGGTGCCGCAGAGGAGGTCCCGGCGGTCTTTTTACAGAAACGCGTACTGACGCTGGGAGAAGCAGCGTCTTGTCGGAAAGGTAGGCACAAGTTCACGCAGATGGTTCTCCCTCGCTGGGCTCTCTGCTGCACCACACTGGAGTTGGTGGCCCTGGGGCGATGCTCAGGCCACAGAGCACTGCTGGGACCTGTCCCCTGTGATACCGTCCACTCCGAAATGGCTGCCCTCCCGCTGCTTGAATGAAGCAGTTGTGCCACAGCGTCTTAGGGAGGCACAGAGCTTCGTTCCTAAAGGAGGAAAGAGGCTGATATCCACCTGCAGGTTATGGGGGATGGGGTTGGTGTAAACATGCAGCGCAGTAGACGCAGAGTAACATCAGAGTGCTGCGGTTCTGCACCGTCCCTGCTGCGGCCCTTCGCCGGGTCGTCCCTCCAGGAGGAGCGGTGACTTGGTACCACCAGTGTGAAAAGGAGCAAAGGCTCTCAGGAGCTGCAGCTCTGTATCACAAAGATTTGGGATAGGTGATGGTTGCTCTGCTCTCTGATACGGACCTGCCCTCTCTGGAAGGTCGTGGAGATCTCGTTGCTTTGAAGGGCAGTGAAGGAGCAGGGCCTTTGGCTACTTTTGCTCTTAGATCATCTGGTGGTCCCAGCCAGCAAAGAGCAGAGAAGACGGTCGTTTGGAGTGGCGAACATGTGGGATCTTCTGCCTGGGTGCTTGGCCAGTTCCAGACTGGTTCGCTTCCCTCAGCATGTGTGCTGCTGGGCTGGTGGCAACAAATGATGTTTGGGGTTCTGCCACCTCTGGTACATAATCTCAGAGCAGTTTGATTCCTCTGCTCGGAAGA